GAACCATTTCAACCAATTTAGGATTTTTGAGGCAGAGCCCGAATGTGGGTGTTCCACTGAGGAATGCATTACGTTCCCATATTGAATGCAAACCCGAATTTTAGGGTTTACGACCTATATAAAGAAGATTATGTCCCATACCGCAGCCTCCTTACCAGCCTCTCCACTTCAGAAAAAACCTAGAAAGCCTAACACTCCGTCCTTGTGTGATTTTGATCTTGTGAAGCTCATCTTGGTGGTTTTAAGCTTGGATGGACAAAGAAGAAGTTAGTGAACAAGAACTTGAGTATCTTGAGCTCAAGGATCCAGGATACCATCATCATTTGTCACTCATTTGAGGTAAAAAGCTTTCAAGTTACCTCATGAATGCTTAGATCTATGTTAATGGGATTTTGGACTTTTTTAGGTCCCATGAATGGATTTTTATGAGTCCAATCCATTTCTAGGCTTAGGGTTGCCACCCTTAGTGCTAAATGTGTTCCAATAGCATTAATGTTTCGATCTTTAAAGATCTTAATGGGTTCATGCAAGAGTTATGGCCATCTTTATGGAAGTTGATTGCTATTTCTTAACATTGGGACTTGTAGGGACATGCAAAGTCACCAAGTCTGTGACTTTATGATTCTAGAGGTCCTAGATAGCTTAGATCTATGTTTGGGAAGCATGGTTTAAGCATTAAGTGCTTAATGGTTGGTTTTTAGAGTCTGGACGTGGATGCCCTGCGTAAGGCTCAGGAACGCATTGCGTTCCCATTGGGACTCGCGATCTGAACCAAAGAGGAACGTCCAACGTTCCATAAGGGAACGCCTTGTGTTCGTTGCGTCAGTTGACCTTGTTGGGCCATTTCCTTGGAGTATATGACTATGGGCCTTGATAGATTACTCTTTTGGGCTGTTAATGGACTATATTACGTGTTGGGATTGCGGAAAGGCCCACTTGAGAAGTTGGGCACAATTTAGAAAATTAGGTCGTAAGTGGGGCATTATTGGGCTTGGAAATATTATATGGAATTAGGCCTTCATGTTATAGATTTAGGCCAAGGTCATGGACCAAAGTAGATCAGGGGTAAAATGGTCATTTTACCCTAAGAAAGCTTACTTGATTTTTACTAAGTTTTATTTGGTAATGATAGCTCAGTGAGTCATGGGAGCAACCGTTAAATATTCCTTACTGTGAGATTTCAAGATTCAAATTTGCAAGGTGATTTTTCTCCTATAGGAACGGGTCGAAGGCAACAATGCTAGCCCGTTTATGTATGTTAGTATGTTCAGACTAAGGTCCAATGTCGGAAAATGCCCGATGTAGGTTATTATGTTTTCGGATTCCGATCCGATGTTGGGTGGTGCCCGAGGAATTTTTGTATGCTTGATGTCTTCGTGATTCTTGCATATGCTTGTTTTATATGTTTCCGGACTTCGGTTTGATTCTGGGGAAAGTCCAAGGAATGTTTTTATGTTTCTAGACTTTGGACCGATGTCGGGAAAAGCCCGAGGAATGTTTATATGTTTCCGGATCTTGGTCCGATGTTAGGCGGGGCCCGAGGAATGTTTATATGTTTATGTTATTTGATTATTTATGTGTATTTGTTGATATGGTATATGTATACTGAGCTTTGCTTGATGCTAGGCAGGGCCCAATATAGCGGGCAAGGCCCATGTTATGTATTTATGTTATTATGTGATCATGTGTATGGTATATGGTAGGTTGGGGAGACTGACTAAGCTTCGTGCTTACAGTTTTTCAGTTTTGGTTTCAGGTACTTCTGGTAGCAAGGGGAAGACCTCGGGGTGACTGCAATGCACACATCATTTGTTTAGCATGGGATGTTTTTACTCTTATATGTTTGACAGTTGTTTATGATATTTTGAGATACATGACTTATGGTTTTTATGTGATGAACTGTTAACTATGGTTTTATTAATGATTTAAAACGAAAATTTTGGACCTTTTTTTTTTTGGATATTTGAAGTTAGTATTTTCGTTTGAGGGATTCGAGCACGCTCTCGGGTGTGTTTGAACTCAAACTGAGGAATTGGTATAAAAATTTTAAAAGAAAAACCGTTTTTACAAAATGGGTTTTGAGAAGAGAAAAGGGTGTGGTGCATGCAATCAGCCGAGCTCAAGTAAGTTCTCCCAAATTACCCATACAAGTTTATTATGTTATGATTATGAGAATTGCATGCTAGTTAGGGCTAAGGATCTAGGAAGGATGCCTTATATGCCTGCTATATGAGCTTATTAAACCGTTTGCTAGTACTGATTAGTCAGTAATATGATAGCCTGAGTAGGACATGCTTGATTACGTTTACTCAATGCTCGAATGCTGCTTGCTTTATGCTTTTAGGATCTCTAGTTATCTTTAACTAACTAGTAAACGAATTATCTGATTGCTTGCTTTATGCTTTTAGGTTTAGACTTATTTTGCAGCTCTCGTTTTGAATCTAACCATTCTAGGGTAGAACCTATCATTCAAAGAATTATGTGGTATTAGCAGGGACTTCTTATGCATCTGATGAAGGAGAGTACGTTGGAAGTTACCCTAGGGCAAGCCTAGGATGAGATTAGCATAGAGAACAATAGTAGTGAAAGGGACAGTGTATAGTCAAGGTAGTTCTTGAGGAAAGTAGGGATAGATGTGGATGGTAATATGGGCCCGTACTACTGAAAGTAGAGGATCCATACTCAAATACAGTTAGGCTGAGATGAACCTAGGAAACTTGTAGTATGTATGATCTCTCGAGTTATGATGAGTATACTGGTGGGTTTTGTGCACTTTAACAACCTTAAGGTGCACATATAACCCTAAATGCTTTGGATCTATGTTTTCTCTAATTATAGATGCAATTTGATTTTCCAAAGCATTATCCTAACTAGCATACAAAACATGGGTACTTGTATGACAAAAAATAGTTAGATGACATACCTTTTCTTGTATCTTGTTAGCTTGGAGCTTTAAGAGCCTAGCAACCCAAATGTGATGCCTCAAATATATCACAAAACACCACCAACAACGGAGGAATTTGAGAGAAAATAACTTGCACACAAAAATCAGTTATGACTCTTTCAAAGATCACTAGTGCCGATTTTAAGAGCTAAGGGGCTTCTTTTATAGTGTGGTAAAACCCTAATGCACCATGACCTTTCATATTACTTAGTATCCAGGTGTTAAACCTTAATGGATTATCCATCGAATACCGTGTTGGTTTGGTCCATCCTAAATTACGATAGGCCCACACTATAAGAATCATTGATTTACCAAATCAATCCCTTCACATTTAATTAGTCTCTTTCGATCACTAAATTAATTCCAAATTAATTCTTGATCAATACTAATTAAAAAATATGATTTCATATTGATATATTAAAACTTATAATATATTAATAAATCATATAATGTTTTAAAAACCCCATCCTTACATATTGTTTCGGTGAAATGCAACCCAAATTGACCATGCTACTTTCGGGTCAAGTAAATATCAAATATAGTTATGGAATTAGACATCTTATCCAACATTCACTACTAGAAAACAGCCCTTCAACGATGCACAAACAATGACATGCACTAATAGAGGACACGCATTTATGCGTGTCCTAAAAATTAATGTCAAAATTCAAAAATTTGAAGGATAGAGGACACGTATTTATGCGTGCCCTAGAATTAGTGTCCAACAAAAAAACTAAAAACACAGAGGGCACCTATCATAAAAAAGTGTGTCATGTAAAACTGTCGCTTTATAATTGTTTTTTTCACGGATGCACATTCTTCCCTTTTTTTAATTGCCAAGTGGGGGGAATGAAATCCCAAAAAAATGAAAACCCCGCCCTAATACTCTCCTCCTTCTTCTTCCTATTTTGTAAAATCATCTTCCAAAGAAACCCTAAAAGGGTTGTGTGGTTGTCGATCTTTCTCCCTTTTTGGAGCTCTGTAGCCATACGAAGGTCAATGACGACAGCTATCCTCTTTTCTCCACCATTTTCTGCCCCTGAGTCATCTTTATTTCCCTAATAGCGTGACCTAAATATTATAAGTATTACTATAGTTTCAGCCATTCAATGCTTTGTCTCCCCCCCATTCTCCTACACTCCTCCATATTCTCCCAAGGTTAGCCTTCATGATTCTCTCACCCCACATTCAAGCGATTCTCTCCAACAAATACCATGTAAAACTCAATTTCATGATCTTGCGAAAAATAAAGTCAACTCGTCATCTTCTTCTTCTTCTTCTATACCATAGATATCGTTCACAGTCTCTCTCCTAAAACCGATCGACCGCCTCAAATACCTTTGTCTAAACCACATGTTCATCCAAATCGCTAGCAAGAGGTCAATCGATTTATCGCCATCACCTCCGTATACGCGCTGACTTCCCTTTGTTCCCAATAATCTCTCCAGTCAAATCAGGTACCTATCTCTATTCTTTCTGAATTCTCCTAGATTGGAAATTCCTTGATACTTCGATAGCTTTTAAACAAACAAAACTCAGTTTTTCTCTCAATAATCCCTTGTATTTTTCATTGTTGTTCCCCTTACTGGCTTCGATAACCTCTCTAATTTATGAGGTTTTTGTTTACCCGACGATTGGATTCATATATGACAATGAGTTTAAGTGTATGAGTTGTAGAAGAGAGCTATCTGGAAACTATAGAGTCTCTCTTGCTTGGATCTGGAACAAGTCACCCTCCATCCTATGCTTTCAACCCAAAGGCAAAGGCAGATGCTACTTTCTCTGAAACTGCTCCTGCCTTAAACCCAAGGGCAATCATGTATTTTGCACTAGATTTGGAATAAGTCACCCTCTTCATCCTCATCATTGAAGTTGAATTGATGAATTATTTTCATTCATGTGTGAATCAGATGAAACTTAAATCATTTCATGCTACCACTTTTTAACTAATTGCTTCAAATCCTTTTATTTTTTCAGAGATTGTGAGGGTTTCAAGTATACTACCAAATCAAGGGTTTAATGAGCTTGATAGACTGATCCATGAAGTCCATGTCCCATGGCATCTTCAAATCTTATGTCAAATGTTCCTGGGAGTAGGATTAGTGGCTGGAATGGTCTTCCACCAGAGGTACTTGTGTATTTCAATTTACTCTTTTTCTTATTATGTCTTATTAATCAATAATACTTTGCTTTAAGAGATAAATAAAAGTTCATGGTATATATGTATGATCATGTAAGCCTTAATTGCATCTATTGCTAATGTGGCTCCTTTTTTTTAATTCATTGTTTAGTAGGTTCCTATCATTTGATCTCACTGCCTGTAACCGCATCTATTGTTGATGTGACTCCTTCTTTGTGCTTCGTTGTTGTTATCAGAAGGTGCCACCTCATTATTAACTACTGTGTTACCTTGTTATTCATGGTTGCTGTCTCTGCATGTTGTCCATTGATGTTAAGTTGTTGATAAGAAAATCTCACAATGTCATTGTGACCTAACACTTATTGTATCTAAGTTCGAGTTAAGTGCTATTATCAGAAGCCGTCATTTAGGAATCCACACCTCAAGTTTCTTCTTCCAAATGTTTGTGACCTTTTGGCTGTTGCTGCTTTTGTTATTCATGTTTGTTGATTCCCTATGTTGCCCATTTGATCTTAACAATTTAATATCATATTATCTCATTTCTGTATCTGATTTGGCCAAGTTTATTTTAGGTAAATTCATGTTATTCAAAGGTGTATTCTTCTCATTTTGTTACTCTTCTTGCTTTTACTAATCTGGAACACACAACTAGGATGATTCGAAATCAATCAGTAACTTCAAATTACTTTTATTTATATTACACACAGTTAACTTAAGCTCTGTATTTTCCTAAATTCCTGTTTATTGACTAAAAATTTAGCTGATTGTCAGTTGTTGAATCATGTATTCCAAATTTTGTTAAGACTTTGATAGGTAAGACCATAAAGCGGGAGGTGGAGAGCTCAAAGAACATTCATATTGTGAAGTCAAAGATTCAGGACATAGAGGGGATTCCATTGCATCAACAAATGTCTTATGCCTATTCTTTCCTCTAAATGGTGTACGACCATACAACATATTATATAATAAAATACCTGAATTAAAAAAAAGAATATAATAATTAACTGGTTAAAGTATTGAAATGGGTAAAAGAAGGTAATTCAAATTTACTGTGTATATTTTAAAGAAAAATTTTAATGCATTAAAATCAATAAGCTTACCCACTGCCCACTAATCAATAGCATTGGAGTGGCCAACTCCTGCTATGATTTCCTAAAATATCATCATAATTTCAAAGGGTAAAATAAAGAGACCATAAATAAGTGAAATTACATAGATGCCCTTTGAGTACTTTTCATATCGGAGCAATGTATTCTTCAGTCCCAACAAATGAATTTCATTGTGTAGAAGGTTTCGCAACAAATGTAGGTGGTGGTTGGCTTCTAGATCTTCTTCTTTTAAGCTGAGGATGTTTTATAACCTGCAAAATTAAAATTAACATAGGACAAAAATAAATAAATAAATCCAGAATCTTGTAAGAATATAAGTCATTTTTTTTAAATAGAAAAGGACATACTTAGGGTTTACACTGAGTTCTAAATGATAAATCAAAGTCACTCAATACAACATGTCCATTTGTTTGAAGTAATATATTCTCTGGTTTCAAGTCCCTAAGATGATCGTTGAATAAAGAAAACATAAATCGAATGAAAGATGTAAGGGGTAAAATGGGGTAAATTGCTGGAAAGAACCTGAAAGATGATGTGAATTTGAAGCTAACATGCAAATTTTTCTTAAGATTCTGACATGGAAAACCATCAACCAGGAGGTGGAAAGCATGAACTATATTCGTTATGTGATGGAAATGATTGAGGAGAAAGAGGAAATTCCAGTTAATTATGTATATAGTTTGTTTTAAAAGACCGATTTACTCTAGCATTTTAATAGTTTTAAGTTAATTTTTTTATTTTAATCTGCACAGATTGTTGAACTTGGTGATCATCTGTATTTTGTGGGCTTCCAGTTTCATCCCGAGTTCAAGTCTCGGCCGGGAAAACCTTCTGCACTTTTCTTAGGTACCACCAACAAAACTAGCTATCAACACTTTGACTTCTCAATGTAAGGGTAAGACAGTCATTTAGTCTTTTGATGATTCATATTTATTATGCAGGTGTTCCAAACCAAGTTTTCTAAGATAAGCGTGGGTATGAATTTCTCAATCCTTTCACCTAAATGCTCTCCTCCCAACACGTTAAACCTAATGAATGTTTTGATTTTTTTGGCACTAACACTTGGATGATGCTTAATTTGACTTGTTGATTCTGTGTTAGATGGATGAATTGGTCCTGAGTTGTGGCTGGAAAGGTGAGTTGTGGCTGGATACTAAAGGTAAGTTGTGGCTGGATACTAAAGGTGATGAATGCCACAAATTATTGACATTCTTATTTGTTTTTTTTTTTTTTTTTTTTTTGTGATGTTAGTGTTGGGAGAACGTATGTATTCAGCTTTTGAGCAGATGTCTGCCTCATATGTCGTGGGTCACACTCCATATTACTGCTTGCAGCAGAAGCAGAAAGTGGTGCTGATTTGTATTTGCTGCCTGGATTCACCTCTAATAAAGGAAATGGAAGAAGCCTCATGAAACAGATTTTTTGTATGAAACACAGTAGATTAGATGAATGAAAATTTATATATTGTATGAAATAGAATTGTAAGACATTAAATTTTATTCAATGAATTGTATTTTTTTATATGGTATTTTATTTCTATTATGAGTCATTAAATGCAAATTTAATTTAAAAATTAATAAATATATAAATATATATATTTTTTAAACATTTAAATTTATGATACGCAAAAATGTGTGTCGTCTTCATTTATGACATGGCCTTTCTTGACAGGGTTTTAATGTTACGCATTGCGCGTCGTAAACAGACGACGTGCAAATGTGGTCGTCTTCCGTTATGACAGGGCCTTTCTTGACGCACATTTACGTGTCGTCTGAGCTTTTTACGACACTCATTGCGCGTCGTAAAAGGCTGTTTTTCTAGTAGTCAGTCTCGCACTTGGGATAACTCTAATAAATATAGTTGCAAGTATGACTTTAGGAACCGACTAGAAATCGTAGCTCTTAAAAGCCTTTGTCAAACCGTGATGCGCCATTTAGATAAGCGATCATATAACCCTCTGTTCTCAAGATATCAGCCGGAAAAATACATGAAACATAGTCATTCTTATTGTCCATCATTTGCTTCCTGATATCCTATTTGTTTGACATAGAACTCAATCGAACACATCAATTCAGTTTTGACCGGGCCCAACACATAAGTTAAAACAAAATCATCGAGGGGCCCAAGATATTGCTTTGAATCCTCCAAGGACTAAAAAGGACATATAAACTTCAACTCATATGCTTGTACCAACTACTCCTTAAATTGTATACAATAGCACATTTTATAGCATCAAGTTACCGATGCAGTTTGGCACTATCAAAGTACAATCAACTCATAGTTAAAAACTCATATGTCTTGGTTTGACGACTATATGATATTATCGTCTCACAATCACTAGAGATAAATTCCATGAAGTGATACAAGTGAGCGTAGGTTTAATCCAATACTCAGACCTTATGATCACTCATGAATGTTGTAGAAAACCTTTGCTATGTGTAATACACTTTAGTCAACCTTCAGCCAAATTCATGACAGTCTTGCCTCAATACCTACTTCCAACGTATGATAGACTGTGGATAGTTTGAATAATTTAATTATTTTGGAAGTCAAAACATGAAAAGTGAAACAATAGTAAATGATTGACACAAGATAGTAACATTACTTATAAATAAATAAAAAACCTTCTTTTTAATCATCAAATGTCAATTACATTTTAACTATTCAAATTTCTAAACAACTATATAATCCTTAAAAATATTATCGTCCTTCAGTCTGATGCGCTTCGCATGTTGTAAGTGCTTAACCTACTCAGTCGCTTTGTGAGGGGATTTGGTGGGTTCTCCTATGAAGATACCCTATCTGCTACAACGAGACCTTCTTCTATCTAATGTCTTATGAATTGAAATATTTTTTCGTTGTGCCTGGATCTACCATGATCCCTTGGTTCCTTGGTTAAGGCAACTGCACTCTCACTATCACAGAAAATATCCATAGGCTTCTTTATAGTTGTTACAACTCCAAGGTTTCCGATGAAGTTCTTTAGCCATATCGTCTCCTTCTTCGCTTCGCTTGTTGCTATATACTCTGATTCCCACGTTGAATCAGCTACAGTCTCCTACTTGGAATATTTCCAAGTGATTGCTCCTCCATTAAGGGTAAATACCCAATCCAAATGAGAGAGGAATTTATCTCTATCGGTCTGAAAGCTGGCATCACTATACCCCACCACTCATAAGTCATCACTCCCACTAAGGGTAAGGATGGTGTCCTTAGTCCTTAGTGTTGGATAAGGTGTCTAAGTCCATAACTATTTTTGGTATGTACTTGACCCGACCCGGCATGGTCCATTTGGGTTGCATGGCACCATGCAATTGGATAGACTAAATGAGAGAAATAACACTTGGAGATTATTAATATATTATAAGTTCTAATATATTAATAATATTATTTGATTAGTTTGATCAAGAATTAATTTAGAATTAATTAAGTGATGAAAAGATAACTAATTAAATATATGGGTTGATTATGTAAATCGTCCATATCTTGTATAGTGGGCTAAGAGGCTCCATGGATTATCAAGTTGGCTTCCACCCATAGGATGCTCGATGGATGCTCCATGGGAGTTACAAACCCATGGGTCATGGAAATGAAGAGTCATGACACATTAGGGTTTACATGGTGTAAACCTAGATGTGTCAACACTATATAAGAATCATATTCTCCACCAAAATTGGCTACACATATGAAACAAGAGGGCTAGGCCGATTTCAAGTAGTGTGCATTCTCTCAAAAGTCTTTCCAAGAGCATTTGGTGTTGTGTGAAGCATTTGAGGCATCACACTTGGGTGCTAGGCTCATAAGGTTTCAAGGAACATAAGCAACAACAAGGTAAGTTATTCTATCTATCATTCAAGTTAAAATTGTTCCCCATGTATGCTAGATAGGAATATAGCCTTGGAATTCAACTTTGCATGATAATTAGACAAACATAGATCCAAGGTTATTAGGGTTGCATGTACACTTAGGAAGTGTTAGAATGCTCAAAACCCACAGTGGTATCAGAGCCTAGGCTTTTTGTTTGTTATTTGTGCTAAAAAGTTGAAAAAGTCGAAAAACTTGTTGTCTGACTGCTGGACTCGTCGAGTCCATGGGGGACTCGTCGAGTTCACTTGTATCTTCAACCTACTCGTCGAGTAGGTTAATGCACTCGGCGAGTAGGGTCGACAGAGTGCAGATTTTCGACTTTAGTTGCTGGAAATGGATTAGAAACATTACCCTAAACTGTTTTGGTACTTGAAAACTTGTTTTAGATGGTGTAATGTCTTTGCTAATTCATTTACAACAACTAGTTATCAAAATTACAAAGTTTTAAGTGTAATTTTGATTTATGAATGTGTTCATATTCATGTTCTTGTTCTTATGATGTTTTAGATGATCATAGGAATTATTTGTAACCTATGTGGTAGATTAATTCTTGATCATAATGTGTTTTAATGGAGTCCATAACTTGTCCTCAAGTTATGGAAAACCAAGAGTCACACTTGAATTAAAACCATTAAAAGAACACAAGAGTTAGAAAAATGAAGAGTCTTCATTTTATTACTCTATTAAACTCATAAGTTACAAGAAATGAAAAGTTTTGAAAGTTACAAAACTTGCCCTCAAGTTTTGGAACAAGTAAAGTCTTATTAAAACTTTAGTTCCAACCCTTAGAATTTTAAAAGTTAAAATTCAACCCTTATACTTATATTATTATAATTTAATAATATATATATATGTATAAGAACAAAGTCGTCTTACCGCTAGTACGCCTCATTCACGAAGCCGGTCTATAAGGTGGGTATAAGGTTGTTGCCTATAAAATGGCAACTTAATGGGTGTCCATTCTCACCCACCGCTCGCTTGACTGGTGGAGGGTCGTTAGCCGAACGGGTAGGACAAGGACTTATAAATTCTCATTAAAAGTATGATGAATATTATAAAGTAACTAAATGTTTTATTAAATTCCCAATCTTAGTTACTTTAGGAAAATGTGAATAAGGTGCTAATCCATGAAATTACACTTTACACTTTGTCTAAGTCGTTGGTGGAGCGTGTGTGGTTAACCGGCACACTAACTTGGACTTAACAAGGTAGGTAAAGGGTGACTTAAGGTTTATTATAGTATCGGTGGAGCGTGTGTGGTTTACCGGCACATCGATTGAGTGATAAACTTTAAGGGTACCAAGTGATTTGCATGGTTACTTCACACCTCGTTTTGTGATCCTCGGTATCCCAGTCACAAAACTTGGAGGGCACACTCGAGATTGAAACATGCCTTTGAAAAGTTCATTGAATCTCAAAGAATCTAGGAATTTCTAAGAACCAATCAAAAACCTAATATCTAATATTTCGGTTTTCGTGGTGGAAATTGGTGAATCGTCATTCACCTACCTTTCAAATATGTTATAGCTTGGATTACGGCATACCTCTTCTAAGTTATAATATATTGTGATTGGATCCTAGCCTTAATATTACATTTGGGTGTTTTATTAAGGACTCTCTTAATATCTAAACTAATCTTGTCCTCTTCCTTCAGATGTCTTCAAACAATGCTGCTTCTGGCTCTAATCCTAATGGCTCCTTTACCCTTATGAACTTGTGTGGGAAAGTCACTTTTGATGGATCCAACTTCAATGAGTGGATCAGAAACATCAGGATGATTACCCGCTACGAGGACAAAGAATATGTCCTTGACAAGGAGCTTAAGGAGATTGATGAGACCACTGCAACTCCTCAGGAGATCGCTGACTTTCAGGCACATGAAAGGGATGCTACGAAAGTAGCATGCATCATGATGGCCACGATGACAGCGGAACTCCAAAAGTCCTATGAGGATTTCTACCCTTATGAAATGCACCAAGATTTGATGGAAAGATACCATCAAAGTGCACGACAAGAGAGGTACGAAATCATCTGCTCCATGATAACAACCATGATGAAGGACGGGGATTCCGTCACGAGCCACATGCAGAAAATGCAAAGGTATGTGGATCGATTGCTGAAGCTTAATGTGAACTTCCCTGAGGAGCTTGCAATAGATATAATTTTGCGCTCCTTACCATCGTGCTATGATCAATTCCGCATGACATATCACATGAATAAGGAAGAGGTCACACTCAGCAAACTTCAGGGACTTCTCAAGACCGCAGAATCAGGTCTTAAGGGGAAGTCGGTTGTTAACACTCCTACTCCAAACTCCACTCCGGTTTTGGCAATCGGGAAAAGTCGAGGGAAGAAGAGAAAGAGTTCTTCGAAGGGTACCAAGGTTAGGACCCTTGATGGCTCTTCTTCAAGTGGAACCAAGAAAGGTTTCGTCACTCCTTCTTCTGACCCAAAAGAGGCTGAATGCTTCTATTGCCATGAAAAATCACATTGGAAGCGGAACTGCCCAAAATACCAGCAAGATGTGAAGGATGGGAAAGTTAAA